ACACATCGGAACAAGAAGAGAATACGAATTTACGTAAGATATCTAAATGAATAGAAAAATTATAGGCAATTAAAGAACAGGCAAACAAACAAAATTAAGTCATCAAAATCAACAAAGTTGTTACCGTGACAGTAGAAGTGGTTGAGTGATACTCTTTTGTATGCACAGCTCCGGTTTTTCTATGTTAATGGCCAGAGCTTCAGAGATATAAAGAAGACGAAACCGTATTGCCTTTGGTAGGTTACTCGTGACTCTGTAGATTATTTTGAAGGAGGCATTTGTTAAGATATGAAATGTGAAATGGTTTGAGTACTGTTTTCGGTGGGATCAGTTTTTTATAAACCAATAAACTGAACCAAACACTTGTATTTTAATTCAGCATATCACAGTCTTCCTAGCTTCTTGACTAACCACTGTATTTACTAAAAAGTCAGATGAATGCAGATGCAGAATATGATAAACGATTTGCTACGGAACCTATATTCACCCAAAAGAAATTCACTGAAAGACACAATTATGCTTTATTTAATCAGAGGAGACATTTCATCACTGTATTCTACTAAGCTGTTATTCCAAAAATGCCCACCTTTAGAAACACTCCCATCCATTAGTCTTTTTTGGCATCTACGCTGACAAGCGCTAAACAAGTTAGTCGCCTCTATGATATTACTCTGATGAAGTCCCGGATCTTCTTTTTTTAACAACAGAACCTTACAATATGGGCTTACAATATGAGGTTCAGTCATATTATATAGTCAGAAGACTAATACGAAACCAATGATTATAATTCAGTAACAAAGCTTAAAACAACTTATAGAAATAAGTGATTAACAGTCGGCACATATCATTGAGTAGATCACTGGACAATCTGTAACAACAAACAGTGGAAGTTGATTTCGATGAGTTCGTTTGGTCTATACTCGTTGTAAATGAGTCTGTTTTGAATGTTTGTCATCGCAGTGACTGAGCTATACATTGTTATAAAAGTTTTTGTATTTCCAAGTGAATGAAAAAACAGAATGATTTTGTATTTACTGACAATTGCTATTTAATCCTAATTGGTTAATCAAAGCAATATCAAACCAGAATTTACAAAATCTCAGTTTATTTGTAGTAACTCATTTTGTTTACGTCAATTTTCGTTCCTTCCGTTGTTTGATTACATTGGACCGAAAGTTAGGACAAATTGCCCATCATCGATTCCACTTCTAGTTACCATCTACCAGTTGACATCAGTAATAATCCTCAGACACAGTCCGAGCACCGACAAAGGTCCTAAACTTCAGTTTAATCCGTTAACGGGAAAACAAACTGAATTAGGTGAGAAAATAACTTTTCCCCATTACCCGAGAAGTGGGTCTTATAACCTATGTGATCTAGTGGATAACGATTCGGCGTCTGAAACGAACAGTACCCTGCTCGAGTAACCGTTGAAACAATTGCACATATATTCAGCTGATGAGTAGAATAGAATGAAATGAGCATCACGGATCTCTTTTTTAGCCACCATCCATCAGTTTAATCATGACGGAATTTCTAGTCGTCAAATAGGCGAATCAGTCAAGGTAACAAACCATGTGTAGATTGTTGGATTTGATAATAATTATGACATTTTAAAATCAGCATATATTTACATAATAAAATTGTTTATCAAGTTTGTGTTGTCTTTATGATTTGACAGAATGTCACAATTTTCACAATTTCATTACGCTTTAAAAAAGATTGGTCTAGATTACAGTGTCAGTCAATTTCACACAGGTATATGGGATAAACAATAGAATAAGGTGAACATGTGACTTAAAATTTAAGTGTATAGTAAGTGATTTTACTATTAGCTTAACGGTGTACATTACGGAAGATTTTTATGAGTGATTTTCTCGTCAATCATTTTAATCAATCACTATTTTCATAAGAGTTATAAAGCTATTTCATTTCTACAATAAAAAAAGGAAAATTTCAACAACTTTCAATTATATTTTTGAAATTCAACATAGTTTGCAGAAACCATCAGCTCAATGAAAATCTATCTGTAGCAACCTTAATATATACTGACAGAAGGCTCTTGAAATTTTCAAGTATTAGTTTTGCAGCGAATTTTGTTTGATTGGTTGGAGGATTTTATCATGAGCTGATATCAGTTAGAGAACCATTGGAAAACCTGGTAGTACTCGGCAGGTGTTTCTCCAGTTTAGTTTGGGACCCTTCAGCAGTACGCACCCACCACCACGGTTCGAACCCAGGACCTTCTGGTTACAAGGCCAGCTCGTAGACGATTAAGTCACTGCGATGTTGTGATGTCCTGTTTGAAATCTAATATAGCTTTACAAAAGATGATTTTAGCATTTGGAAGTATTTTCAATTCATGCGCCATTGTATATGTCTACGCTTCATTATGTATTCAAAGAAATAGGCTAAACATGCCACTAAAATTGTTGTGACGATAAGAAAAACGGTTAATGTTGTCACTGTTTAGTTAGTGCTTTGATAGTTAGGCTTTCAAATAAACAAATTTGGGAGTTGCATTTAATTCAGTCTTAAACCTTATTCTTGAATACTTTCAAGATTCCATCATCAACTAAGAATTAAATTATTCTCTAGTTCTTCTGGGACCATTCGTCATACACACAAGGCATTAGCAAATAATTTCTCAAATATATCCACCTTACAGGAACAATTTTAAATGTGTAGTAACAGATTGATTCGACTTTGAATCCAAAGTAGTAATACAAGAACCAGTGGTGAAAATTATTGTGGTACACTAAGCTGTTGAATTGGTGTTAACTTTCACGTCAGTAAATAATAATAATCTAGAACATGTATCACGTTCTTTGTGCTGAGGCACATTTTTGGTTGGAGGATGTTCACTAAATGTCACTTACACCATCGGATGCTGAAAAGTTCGTCTGGAAACTAGCTGTTTAACTCCGCTAGGGCAATCATATCAACACACTAATGTTATGGTTAGTCATATCATTTTTAGGAGAGAAACTTTTTAAAATTAAATGAAGGAGTTTTTCTTTAAACGATCTTCAGCCGAATATATGTTTAAGTCACCAAGTCGATTTCGATGATGCTTACGATCTCAAACAGAAACTTTTCTGCTACCAAATCTGAATTTCAGTGCATGACAAATCCAGTCAGTTGTCACCATGTATTTACAACGTCTTTAAAAGTAGATTCCACGCTTTCAATTCCTTGACACCGACAACGAAAACCTAAAATATGTGATGAAGTCATTATTATGAGTAAAAAATCACCATTTTATTACCCAGATTAGAAATGATAAACTGATTACTGTTCAAGGTTTACAAGTTTGAAATACAGCGAATTCACGCTGTTGTCTTTTTATATATTAGAACAAAATTGACTACCATCGACAATCTGTGAGTTTCGCACATTTACCACATAGGTATGTTGATTTTAGAAAATCCATCATTACTCCCTAATTATTGAAACATTTATGTCATTTGTTCACAAACGCTTCCCTTACTTTTTGACGAATTTGAAATGTTGACACCTTAAAATATACACCTAATTGGCAACTATCATGCTTTGTGTCCTTATGTTTCAAGAACGTGTGTTCCCCCACTGACGATCAGTTCACTCTTATGCGAGTAAGAGATAGTAGGATCATAATACCTGACTTATTAAATTGATGATGCAGGCATAATAGTATATATCTCAATCGTTTTACATTTGTGGTCATCATCACTACGAAGAGTGCTTATATGAATGCAGGTTCAAAATTATTTGTTTTTGAAGCCACAGGATACACTTAGAAAATCGGTGAGTGAAATCATGCTTCAGGCAAGCCCTCGAATAGAATCCGAGTGGGAAGCAACGACTAAGACAAGAGTCCAAGGAAAAAATGAAAGTGATATTATGAGGAGAAGACGGAAATTTGGAGTAAACGTGGATCCAGCTGAAGAACACTGGAGAGAACAGACTGAAATAGTGATATGCTCCTAAAACCTCCTTTTCCACTGGGAGGGAACTCAATAAAATAATATAGCAATAATAAACAGGCCTAAATTATTAGGGAGTTTGTCGGAGATCTACAGGACGAACAGGCGTTTTTAGTAACAACTCTTTGAAATGGCAATTTATCATCGTCAGTTGAAAACTGTTTTCTGAGAAAAATAAACTGCAAAGAACAGAACAATGCCAGATGTAACTGAACACTTTCAGTGTAGATTCAAGGTAGGAGAAGCAAGACTAAAAGACACTAATTGAAGTCGGAATACATTATTCGACACAAAATGTGATTCGTGTCAGTCTCAGTAGTTTACGCATTTTACTCATATGACAGCTGGAAGTATTTAGAACGTTTATAAACTTAGATACAGATACAGCTTAAGCTGGTAGTCTTTTGTGTAAATGTAAATCCTAGTTCAAAAATGATCTCATCAGTGATCAGGTATTTTTTTTAAACACTTTATATAAAATCACCCAAGATGAGAGTAATATCATTGCATTATTAGTTTGTTAACTCTTGGATTAACTAAACTGATTCTTAATTGTTATCATGTGTCCATACATAGAGAGTTTCAGCTTTGTCATTCACCTTAACCATGACTATAGATTTTTAAACTATTAATGCCAAAATCGTGCATTTAGTTGTACCTCTGTGATTACATCATGGGCAAAGTATATTGATTGTTAACAAGAAACCTCTCTCTCTCTGTCACACATAATAAGTATATTAAAATTAAAAAAAGTCAGGTCAAACGTCCACTGCCTTATATGTATTCAAAATTATGATCAACGATTTTATTAGTATAAAATATGATAATGGAATTTTACAAGGAATGGTGAATCATGTTTACACTTACAGTTATACATAAATTGTTATGTAGGACTGTCACAAAATTAGACTGAAAACACACACATACACAGAACTGAGAAATAAACTTTCCAAGTAGAAAAATTATGAACATCAATACAAGAGTGGACAATACAGTATTGAATTCTGTGCAAAGTTTGAGAATTATCACTTAAAACTACACCTCACTTTCAATTTCTTGAACTTCACTTAATGTTTCGAATACACATGTACGTGATAAGGAGTTTCCTAGTGTTTTGTTTAATAAATTGCTGCTATTATTATTATTATTGTTATTGTTACTGACAGTGTCAGTGGTATAGTTTATGGGAAGATTGTCACGTCGTCTTGTTCGCCTTGGTGAATTCGGTGCGGAATGAGGTTTAGGTACTACAGTTCGTAAACCTTCTAAAGGACCAGTGCATAATGTATTTTGATTAAAAACAGATAACCAAAAGTTCACAGAGTTCTCGTCGGCTGTTTCTGCTTGTATAGTTATGCCTTCACCGCATCTTGTATATATTTGAAAGCGTTTTTCATCAATCTGACGCGAACGTGTGTGCTTTACATTTAAACGCATATAGGGAGGAGAACAAAAGTCAGGTATGAACTGAGAATTTCGTGGATTTGTCTTTGACTTTAACAATATCACAAGCGATGGAATGTCTACATTTTGTGAATTCAATTTTGATGAAAGTGAACTGGATTTCTGATAAATTTGTACCCAAACCAATTGTTTTTCTTGATCGTTATCTATAGGATTTTTGTTAATTGGTGTAATAAATATTTTTCCAATGATAGTCTGTCCAAAACTGGAAGAGTGTTCCAAACTGTTAAAATAATTTTCATAGAAATTTAAGTAGACTTCTTTTGAATTGTAGGGTGAATTATCATTATGTCCATCAACAATAACAGTATCATTGGCTACATCATTATCACCGTCAATAAGAAATTTGGAAAATGGAACTGTTAGGGATCTTGCATCTTCCACTTTTTCAGCTAATTCTGTTATATCCCTTTCTGCAACTATCGGTTCAATTAATATTTGAGGTGGATTGTTCATTTTCAGTAAATTTTTGGCAGCTTCTTTGTAATCATTCAGGCAGAATATGTACGACCATAATTGTATTATTCCTAATAAACGTATAAGATGTTAACACTCAAATAGTTATGGTTTCATTTATATATTCCTTAATTAACCAATCGTCGTGAAGCATTTGAGTCAGCCAATTACATTGTATATTTGTAGTTTTTTAACCAATCACATCCTTCACCAACCAATCGTATCAGTCAGAAAACGTGATGTCATTCACAAATAACGATATGCTATATTAGATCACTGCTTTAATGTTGAAATTAGAAAAGGTGTATGCGAATACCTGAGATTAAAGCAGGTTATATTTTCAATGTTTTCTGTATTATATTAGCAAAATGGCACACGCCGTTTAAACGAAGACTTGTCTGTCTATACTAAAATAATTGAATATCGGCTTGTAATTAAATGAAAATAGGTCACAGTATATTCTAGTTCTTAAAGAATTTTGAAATTGATTTTATTTTCATTCTAAGCTGCTGTTAATTATTATTATTTTTTCTCATTAGCGATTTCTGAGACAGTGACTGCTGCGGTATCAGTAAAAACTGAAAACAACACGTTATGGTCTGGACTCAGGAAGCCGTTCTTTGCGTTCCGCGGTATAGTTAGCTTGAACTTCCTTGAGTTATGTATGCTAAAATATTGTTCTGATGATGACAGTTAAAGCATAGTTATTTTCCATAAAGTCTGCGGTGTTATTCAACGATCATAATTTATCCAAAAGCACATAATTACCGCAACCATGCCATTAGACATCAATTTAGATCCAATAATTTCTCACGTACAGAACAAGTACTATACAAAAGAATCATTTAACTAAGTCAGCTGTAAAAAGTACCTGAGGTTCACGAATAATATTCTAGACAATATGGGTCTAAAACTCTGTCAGCAAAACTCACGTAACAAACAATTCTCGTGGGTAGACCATGTTCAGCATAACCTTGACTCACTCAAACAAAATCTCAGTTGTAAAACAATATATTATCTGTATCATCACACAACCTGGAGATTAAACAAGAATATTGATAAATAATAAGTATTAGTTCAGAACAACGATATGCAGTCTAGGAGAAGAAGGGATAATAATTACAAGGTTAGTTAAGACATCCCAGTAAATATCAGAAATGTAATTAGGTCACTCGGCAGGGATTTTCCAAACAATTATTGCATAAACATACTTGTGTCCAGTTTGTTTCATAGTGTTTCTTTTTGCTAATTGGATAAATTTAGTCGAAAACGAGAAGTCTTGTTTGGTTTGTTACTGAATTTAATAGTCTGAAATTATGGTTTAAAATAAAAGTGGTTATTGGAATTTGTTTGAAATGAATGATGAGTTTTGTTTGACTCATCCAAATGTTGCGTGGATAACCACATGATAAACACTAACTAACTAATATGGAATGCACACAAAAGTTTGCATAGGCTTTAAAAAGCTACTAAGAGTAACGGAGGCGTGATTGGTTCCTTTTTTCTTTTTGTTATCATCTGTGCAGAGTACCAAATTATTGTATTTTAAATGATAAAAAAAACTATTGAGTGGTCAGAATAGTTGCAAACGTGTGTAACCAGCTGAAAAGGTTGCGTTGAATTTTTTAGATAAGTGGTAGATTTCACTCTATTAAGCGTCATGGTGTGACGAAAGCAGAATCATATGATTTGCGTAATATCTGAAATCTGTAGCCTACTTTGAAATTTATTTAGTTATATTTGAATCACAAAATAACAACTGTAATATCTATCACACAGATGAGATATTCCTATTTCACATGAATATTTCTTTCACATTCTGCGTAAAATGCTTACAAAATAAATCAAAATCTTTGATAATATCATGTTCTTTCAGATTCATTCCTCTTACAATATTTGTAGGCGTATATGTTTTTTTGACCCCTGAAGGTAGAAAGTCAATATGAACATTCATATTTATTGCTGAGAAGGTGAGAATTCTGTTTGGGATCCCTTTACTTTTAGGGTAGGGTTTTAACGTAGGGTTTTAAACTTAAAGCCTAAGCGTTTTCGTAACAGCAGATTATCTACGAGGTGACGATGCTAGCCTGATGCTGACTAGGCGAGTTTAAGCAGTACATTGGCTGGGAATCGAACCTGTACCACGTGCGTGGTTGCTGAGTATTCTGTCAGTGCGCTACCAGCGTGCATAAGATGTTTAGATGTCTCTAATTTGCTGCGTACTGAAAAACCTCAGTTATCGGCTGATATCAATTAGAGAACTACTGGAAAAATTTGAGAGTATTGCGCAGCTGTTTCGTTCTAGTTTGGGACTCTTTAACAGTACATATCTACCAATGGGGTTCTAACTCATGACGTTCTGGTCACGAGGTGAGCTCGTAGACCATTAAGACATTGGGACCCAAGGCAGTTAACTCGCAGTTTTAGTGGGAAGTCGTGACCAGTAGGATACAGTAGGTTGAAAGTGAGGCAGTTACCCATCGAAGAAGACTTTACGAAGTAGTCACACTATGTTATGAATTGACAGGAGTTAGAATTGATGGGCTGGCCACTGGATCGGGTACCAGTGGCTTAATTGTCTACCAGCTTGCTCACCTTGTAGCCAGAAGGTCTTGGATTCGAACCCTGGTGTTGGGTACGTACTAGAGAGGAGTTCCAGGTTTTACAATGGTTTTCTAACTGATGTTGGCTCATGATGAAATCCTGTACCCAATCAATCAAAATCCCTATAAAACCAATACTTCAAAACCTCAATTATTTTAGTTTCATAGTGAACTTCATAATAATAATATTATGGTAGCCTCATTTGGAGTAACACCATTCTAAACAGTATAGAATTTTCATTGAGTTTTTATCTACCCCTTATAAAGAGTAGCTTGTTAAATTATTATTCGACAGTTTAACATGAATGGCGATGCCTCAGTGGTTCAGTACTAGAACGCTCACCAACCACGGAAATTTTCCTGGGTTCGATCGCTAATCAACACACTTTTAAGTCCCTCTAAGTCGGTACTAAGGCCATCAAAGAGGGAAGGTTGGACGTGAGGTTGGCAATCTCGACCCTTGAAAATAAAATCACCGTTGCCGAAACTTCTAAGCTTAAGCTTGAAGCCCTATTTTCCACTCCAGACGTATCATGAACGGAATCTTTTCTGATATGAAACATGTTTCAACCGCCAAGATATCTTCCCTTTCAAACACACTAAGTGGTATGTCGAAAGCCATTAAAGCAATGCACGTGAATACGAATTGTTCCTTAATTGCGTAAACAATTAATTAAGGCAAACTAAGTTAATATGATACATCAAGTGGTGTAGACAATTTGCTAGCAGACCATTAGTAAGATATAAGTGACATCATGACTGTGCATTCCCCTATCACATACGACAATTCTGAATTAGCGTCTTGATAAGAGCTACATAAAAATGTTAAGATGGAATGCACTAACCAAGCAAAACGCCATAAAATGTGATTTTCGATGTCAGACTTATCAATTCTATGCCGCTAATTGAACTGATTACATGCTCAATTGTATGAAATAATTCCGGTCATCTGATTCATGAGAAGCAATTATTATGAAATATATTTCCCTTGAGACGAATAAAACTACATTTAAATATGATTTTAATTATTCCTGAAGGTTATTTAATAGTGAGGATAAAAATGTGCATACATGTAAGCAATTACATAGAAATCATATTACTTAGTAATACGACACACAGCTAATAAGATTACCCGCATTATACATAACGAAGCAGATGCAACTAATTGCACTAAACCAGTTATTTTATATATCATATTAAAGCAAAATCCAAACACAGGCTATTCATGAATGCGATAATAACATTTTAACAAAGTAGGGTAGAGGCATAGTATGCCACTGAATATAAATCCAACAGACTGCAGACTTCCGTCAACAGCTACCTTCTTTGGCTTGAAACTGAAAAGCAGGAGACTAGAAAAGGCAGTCAAATAGGGACTTTGACAACAAATCAACTAATAACGCATTGGCCAATAAATAAGCCCGAAGACAAATGGATGTGGATCGGAAAGATGCTGAGGAGATCGCTAACTGACATTATATGCCAGGCTATGGCTCGAGTAAAACCCGAATTCGAGAGATACTGAGGAGGTTGGACTGAAAAGATGAGGGCCTACGGAGAGTTGGAGATCTTGCTAAAAGCGACTTCAGAGAAGAGAGTGAAATGGAAATGTCAGTAGTTCAGCGAAGAATCTCTTTTTCAGCAAATTCATTTCCACAGCTGTACAGTCGTAAATATATGTGGTTATTTTGTATGCGTGTACAATAAACTTGTCAAACGAAAATAGAATTATTTAGGGTTGTTGTAAATAAGGTGATGAGAATAAGTAAGATCTTGGTGGAGTTATGTAATACAAAAAAGCGTTTAGAGGAATTAGATGTTGATACAGGAGGGTACCAACAAAAGTGATGAATTGTCGCAAACGATTGCTGAAGAACAGTTATGTAGTAAGATGAATAGTTCGATGAAAAGGTTGTCCTCAGGGCGAACGCGGAAACAAAGTAACATACGGAATCACGTAGGAGTTTAACTAGTTAGAAGAATAATCATACAAGCAAAGGTTAGGTTAGATCAACAGAGTTGTTATCATGACAATAGAAGTGGTTGAATAAATTTCCTTTGTGTGCATATTTATAGTTCTTCTAACTTAATGGTTAGGGCTTCTGCAGTGCATAGAAGACAGGAACGTATTGTCTTTGGCAGGTTGTTCTGCAGTTTGTAGATCACTTTGAAGGAGGCCTTTGTTGAGATGGAATGACCAGTGGTAACGAGATGTTCGATTATTGCACTCATTATATGACCACTACTTCCTTTCTGCAGCCACTCTGGATAGTGTTCATTGACCTTTTTTGACAGGATAAGCATCGAACGACCGATTTACTTGGATCCACTGCAACAGATGAGCCAATATGTACACACAGAAGTGGTCAGGTGTACGATCTTGTCCTTCGGGCTTGT